TTTTATCCTCTTTTTAAAATAGCACTTAATCTACTCACATATAAAATTAAAACTAGAGTGTCTTTGTTAAATTTTTTTTCCTCTTTCTCTTATAAATTGCTATAAGAGATTGAGAAAACAGAAGGTTACAACAGATCGAGAAAACTCTTCCTCTTTATTATATGAGATTCACATATCAATGCTCAAAAATATTTTTTTTTTTCTTTCCCTTCTCTCTTTCCTCTCCCTTTCTGCTCTCTCGGCTGCCCAGTGCAACAGCGAGGCCCACCCGGGGCTTGCTTGCTCGGCACGGTGGATGCCAGGGCGCCCCGACAATGCTTGCTTTTTTGGCACGGCTAGCCTTGGCATGGCGGGCTACCATGGCGCCCCAACATAGCAGCAAACCTGATTTTTTGCGTGTGGAAATGAAAAGATGACACGTTTTCTCTCTTTTTTTAAGTTGTTGAGGGGTTGTTTTTCTCAAACGAAAAAGAAGAAGATCTGTTCGAGGTTATTTTTTTCGCCAAATCTCCTTTATCACTAGATATAGGAAAAGATGATATCTTTTAGTCAATTTGACGGAGATGCTCTAGGTGTTCTATCTCTTCGAAGCCCATGGTTGTTTGGTCATGAAGAATTACGTTCAGTCTTTTGGTTTTCTAAGGTTTCAGTCATATAAAATGAAGAACAAAATACATCGCAAAATAATACTGAAAATTGAGTAATTCATTTTGGTTATTTTGGTTTGATCTTGTGTCTAGACCGAACTAACATGATAGTTTTAGGATATGTTTTGCCAGTAAATTTTACCACCAATTTTCTATCTCAAAGCATGCCTTAACATTAAAAATATCACAAGATAAATGTAAATGACATATAACACAAAGTACCAATATAGCTGTTACAATTAAACATAAACATTCAATCGTTGAAGATTCAAACACAATACTTATAAACAATAATTCAAAACAAATAACGACTATTTCGATTATTCAGTTACTTAAGATATCCGATGCCTAAGACCGAATTACCTGAAATAGTTTTGGTTAGTTAAATCCGATTACCGAATTAGTAGTCGGCTCGGTCTCTATCAGTACGGTCGTTTCTTCGGTTTAATTGTCATAATAATCACAATAAGCCTGAACTATCCTCAATCCCATTTTAACCTTGTGATTGCGACCGGCTCCTCCGACCCTATCCACATCTAGCACAGAGGAAAATTCGCTACAAAATACCGAGGCACCGATCGACTCCCACACCAGCACGATTAGCTAGCTGTAGCTAACAGCCAAACCAAGAAATCGCCATGCTTTCCCCTGCTCACCTCGCCTTCGCCGCCGCCTTCCTCATCGTCGTCCGGTCATCGGCGCCTGCCGCTGCTGCCCGACCGATCTTCGCTGGCAAGCCCTCCCCCTCCGAGGCCACCGCCACCGCGAGGTGGCTCGCCGCCCAGAACACGTGGGGTGTCCTCAGGTTCCCTCCAGTTCATCCCGAAACCCTTCTTCCCGTGCTCTTGCCCCCGCGATTTGGCGCCGGAGCTAGTTCCTTAGCAACAGGTGTCCTTCTTAGGGGGTAGCAGCACTTGTTGGTTCGATTGAATCGGGCAACTGCCGGCGTCAGTAGAAAATTGTCGATTTCAAATTTGGAATCGATGAGTGGAGGTAAGTGCTGAGAGTGGCTAGAAATTGCTTGAGGCTTTGTAGCTTCGAGAAATTTTTGTGATTGCATACGAACTTCTTGCTTTTGTAGTTTGGGGCGCTGTGTTGCCTGTGTAGATGCCAGTGGCGGAGCTAGAAATTTGGCTACAGGTGCGCACAAAGCACACGGGTCGAACAAACCACACTCATTCAATTCATTACTTAAACGGTGAAATATAAATCATGCATATACAAGTTCAATCGTATAATACATAGCTTAAATGTCACATGATTTTAGTCTCCCATGACTTGACTGAGCATGAGAGTAAAAAGACTAAGGTCTAAGTAAAATTACAGTTTGACCTTATACTCTGTCTAAAAGTAGAATGTCCTTGTTCATCTTCGAAGGTTCAACACTTTTCTGAAATCTGAACCGTACATATAAAGCTTCAATTTCTAGGTGGTTTCGTAATAAAATTTGGAAGTGCAGTGAAATCAATAGTTGAAAAATTAGGAGTTAATCGTCTCAGCTTACTGCTTTTGACTGCTGCTTGCTTCCAAGTTGGACCCAATGGTGAAACAATGATGGTCCTGATATTGACAAGAGGCTCCACATGCTAATTGGCTGGTGATAGTTGGCTGAATGTTGAAATAAAGAACTGCTCCCAACTAATAATGTGAAAATATAGAACTGCTTCCTGCTGATGTAGTGGCATTTTGGTTGTGCCTAGCACACCAGGCACCCAAATTGATTCCACTAATGATACATGCCCAAAATTTAAGACTGATTCGGGAGAAGTCACTACCCTGATACGCGAAATGTACAGAGACAGACTCTTCAAGACTTAAAAGTACACTGTATTCACGAGGAATCAAGTCAATAAGTTCAGTTTACTAGTGAACATATTACCAGTGAATTGCAGAATTGAATTCAGTAAATATATTCAATTCTGTTCCTTTCTCAGGTTATTGTAGATCAATTTCTGTTTGGTTGGTTACTGATCAATACTTGAATATTTCATTTGCAGCACAATATCAAGTGACTTAAGTGGAGCTCCATTTGGGTATTCCTTCTTGTCTCACTGCTGCAAACAGCTGGCATATACTCTTTTCTGACTGGTGAACTTGATTCATTGCTTCTTTTACATATAGCAATGTAGTTTCATATAGTGATGGAGTTCCCGGCGAGGGCAGTGGAATCCCCTACTTTTATCTGACAACTCTGGATCCTACTGCAAGAGATGCACTGGAGGATGAAAGGACCTCCTTTACCCTTAGTGAGTTCCCTCTGGGGACATGTGGGAAAAAAGATCCTGAAAACCCCACTTGTGCAAAACTTACTCTTAATGGAAAGGTATTAAAAAATTACAGCCATGATAAGATGACCGTTGACTTTCTGTTTATATCCATTTAGCCTGTTTGTTTAGTTGTGATTGAATCATTTAACTGACAGTGATCTATTTGGGCTTGAACTGGTTTTCTATCTATAAATTTCACAAGTGATGTTTCTATAAAATGAATACTTCCTGATGAGCTTAAACTTGTCACTATTTGGGCTACAAGTTGTATACTTATAGATGCATATGTGTTCCCATTTCATGCTAGTAATGGTAATGCCTTTTGTATTTCTAATAAATAAACTTTTTGACTGGATCATGGAGTTTCCAACAAAAGAAGGGAAATCCCATTGCAACCACATGGAAGTAGCAAACTCTTATAAATTATAATTGTCACGAGAACTCGGTGGTATTAATTTCCGCAATCATGACAAACAACATGTATTTGAGGCTGTGTCCTCTTAAATTATCTCTTATGACGAAATACTAGAAAAGAGTAATTTTTTGTCATAACTTGTGAGATTTAATAAAATACCATTCAGCAGAGGATGAAATCCCTTCTTTTAGTCCTCTCCCACAATTGGCATAGGTTGAATATAAGTATATAACACATGATTTACGAACTATTATGTATTGTGGATGCCACCATGCTGTACTCTTTTTTTCTCTCATATAAGAAGTTGTTATATGAAGTGGCATTTGCTATTTTTGCAGTTGAAGATGGTTGATCTTCAGTCATCTGAAGCAGATTTGGCCAAGTTAGCACTTTTCACCAAACATCCTGAAATGAAGGGTAAATTTATACTTCTAATCATGCAGCATGCAGAGAGGTTATCTACCATGTGTTATCCAAATAACCATATGTTATTGTTTGATAGATTGGCCAAAGAATCATCATTTCAAAATCTTCAAATTGGAAATCGAAAACATATTCTTGATTGATTGGTTTGGGGGTCCTAAACCGATATCCCCCTCCCAATACCTTGAATTCGGAAGGTGAGCATGCAAAAATCTTAAAAATATGAGCCTACTGTGCATCTGCTCTATACAAAGAGAGATTTTTGTCAATCCGTAGTTCTGCATTGCTGCAGAACCATTTTATTTAACATGCTTTGAATTTATTCAGGAATCAGGGCTCAGTGATGTCCTCATAAGCGAAGAATGCTTCAAGGATCAATATGTCGTCTGTGTATGCTCTTCTTAAAAATGAAATCCATATTGCACATATTGTAACAGAATAAACTTTTAGTATTATAGTTGTTGATATTGTTGTTCATCACATCTTCGTGAGCAATTACTTGACAAAAAAAAAGAAGTCTTTGTGTCATTGTGTGCGCTATGCATTATTGGTCTGCAACTTACAGCTTCCAAGATCTGAGTAATCAAATGGCATTGGACTCGACAGGATGGGTCTTTTCCATGGTCACAACGTGTTGATGCACATATTGTAATGCTGTCCTTGTGCTTCTTTAAATTTTCTTGCAAGCAAGGAAATTTTATTGTCTCTACTAGTGGAAACATAGCAAGAGTTGACTTCAGATCTGGTTGAGGTCATGGGCAATAGATCAACATTTCAATTGATGGAATCAACTTATTGAGCCTTCTGAGTCGAAACAGACTCTTGTCAATGCAAAATGTCATACCAAATATTTGTTCCTGACACACACCTGGGCTATGCACGTCTGTAAGGTCCTTCAGCATCTGTGAACCACAAAAGTAGTGGAAGGAACATAGATTTCATAGGAACCAGTCTTGTTGCTGCTTGAATCGAGAAAGTTCTCGTGTTCCAAATAAGGGTTAAATTTGCATTTGGTCAACTTGATATTAATATCACAAATCCAGCACAATTCCCTTTCCCTGATCTCAATTACAGTTTTAGTAATTGAGCCAAAAAGCACTGCACAAATCCAATAAAGTTACATTTCAGTTCAAACAAAAGAATCAACCTTACAGTTTATACAAGACAAGAAATATTTTTCTGCTATGGTAGCCAAATACAGTTCCAAAGACTTGAGCGTGCAGAAAACGAAGACTTTGTTTTTTTCAATCAGAACTGGGTTGTGTTTGACCCGGACGGCCCGGCGTAATTGCTCCGGTGCGGCGGCCGCCGGATGGAGACAAGCCCCTCCGACACGACGCTGCCGTCGTCCCACTGCCGTCCGAGTAGTCCGGTCGCCGTGACAGGTGCCTCGTCGTCCTCGCCGCGCATAGCCCGCAGCGTGCGCCGCGCCAGGTCTCGCCCCACGCCGCCGTCGCCCTCGGCCACCGGCTGCAGCGCGGCCTCGACCCCCGCGGCGCGCGCGAGCCCGCGGAACCTCATGCTGCCACGGCTCATCCCGTACAGCGTGGATATGCAGTACTCCTGCTCCGCGCTCCCGGGAGCCGCGGAGCCGTTGCGCATCAGCCTGACGACCGCGGCCACGGCGCCGCCGTCCATCAGCGCGGCGCGCCCGTCGGGGCAGCCCGCGAGGTTGGCCAGGACCATGACGGCGAGCCTCCGGAGCGCGGCGGCATCGCCCTCGTTCGCGCGGTCCCGCGCCTCCACGGCGGCCAGCAGCGTCCGCACCGCGCCCGGCGCGCGCGAGATCTTGGACCGGTTCATTCCGGAGAGGGAAACGTGGTACAGCGCCATGCCGGCCTCGCGCGCGCGCGCGGTGCCCCGCGGCGCCGGCGGTGCCCGCGAACAGCTCCAACAGCGGTGGGATGGCGCCGAGCACGCCAATGGCGGCGCGGTTCTCGTCCTCCACGGCGAGGCTGTACATGGCGCCCGCGGCGTGGTCGCGCGCCTCCGGGTGGCCGCCGCGGAGCACGTCCACGAGCGGGGACACCGCCCCGGACCGCACGATGCGCACCTTGTTCTCGGGCTCCAGCGACAGGTTGACCACCGCCGCCGCCGCGTTGACCTGGACGTCGGCGTCGGGCGACAGCAGCATGGGGCGCAGCGCCGCGAGGAGGCGTGGCGTGCAGAGCTGCCGCCTTACCTGCTGGTTCTCCCGCGTCGCCTGCCGCAGCAAGGCCATCGCCGACGCCTGCTCCGCGGGGGTAGCGCCGCCGTCCGTCCCGAGCGCGGCCATGATCTCCTCCTCCAGAGCGTCACCCCTCTGCCTGGTGCTCGGCTCCTGCGCCTGCGCCTGCGCGGAGCCGTCGACGACGACGCTGGGTCTCCTCACCCGAACCGACGAGGCGACCTGCGTCTGCGGGCGCTGCGGCTGCGCCAGCGAGCTCCTGCCGCTGCGGCGGCGGCATGAGGCGGCGCACGATGTCGTGGGCGGTGTCCGGCGACAGCGGCGCCGGGTGCGGCAGCGCGAGGCGGTCGCACCAGTTGAGGATAGCGGTGCGGAGTGCGACGTTGGGGACGAGCACGAGCGGGGAGGAGGAGGAGGAGTGGGACCCGGAGAGGTCGGCGGCGACGGCGGGCGGGGAGAAGGCGAGTGCGGCGCAGGCCTGGATGCAGGCGCGCTCGAAGGTCTGGCCCGGCGGCGCGACGACTGGGTCCGCCATCAGCGTGCCGGAGATCGGGCAGAGGAACTCCGCCGGCGGGTCGGCCGTGAACGACGACGGCGGGGAGGGGAACCGCGGGGCGGAGGGAGCCGCCGCGGACGGCGGCGGCGGCGCCCACCACGGTCGGCCGGTGCCCGTGGCCATGGGCGATTGGCGAGAGAGCGTCTCCACCCTCCGCGGTCGCTGCTGCTGCTTGCGTTGGCAGTTGCGATGGAGTCGTGGGTTTTTAGTGACGGCTCCTCAGAGCGGGATAGCAAGCGAATCGCGCGTAGTCGCTACTCGCCATCGCTTCTTCCGGACGCGCTATTGGCAACCGGAGACTTTTTTTTACAGAGCCGTCTTGCCGGCTTGCTGGGCCACGGATAAAATTGGTCACCAATTTTTCTTCACGAATAATCGAATATAGCGTCCGGACGTCCGGAGCATACGAGCGCGTATCCCTGTGCATGCTGCTAGCCTGCTACCCCAGGCCGCACGTCCGCTTCTGCCGCTGTGCCGTATCGCTGCTGCACGTGCACGTCCGTCCCTGGTCTGCCTCGCTTCGACCCGCACTCGTATCCTGCTCCCGTTCGCCTCCCTGCCCCGCACGAGCTCCCCGGCTGCTTCCACCACTCTTTCCCCGGACCCCGTCCTCTCTCTCGCGTAGGCGGGATCTGGGAGCCCGGATGAGAACGAGCATGCCCCGTCCGCAGGACCCTAGGCGCACCGTACGCCCCATCTGCCGGCCCCTGGCTCACCGCGCCCCTTCCCTAGCGCCGGGGCCCTGCCCCTATGACTCTCTGAATATACCTCTAAAACATAAAACACTTACAACATATGTGTGAAACATATGCAACATCCAGATAAAACACTTGCAACTGGCAACATGAAAACACTTATTGCAACATAATACTGAAACAGGTGAAACATTTCGAACATACTTTTGCAACATATGTGTGAAACATATGCAACATCCAGATAAAAACCGCTTGCAACATACGTCTGAAACAAATAAAATATTTTGAACAGACGTTTGCAACATGCCTCTGAAGCACTTGCAACATCCCGATCTACTTTTGCAACATCCATATAAAACACTTGCAACATACCTATGATAACATTTGAAACGCTTGAAACATATATTTACAACATAGGAGGAGGGAGAGGCCAGGGCCGGTTGATTCCGGCCTCGGAGTGGGAGCCGGCGCCAAGCGGCAACACGCGAGCACCACCAGCACGGGCCGCGCTTCGTGGGTTGGGTGCCCTTGGGTCGGTGGGGACCGACCGGAGGTGCACGAAGGCACCACCAGCGCCAGCACAGGAGGGCACCACTACCCCTGCCCGATCTCGTCCGCATCGTTGGATGCCATCGCCGAGGGAGGATGCGGACCAAACTCTGTAGAGAGGAAGAGAGGCGGAGGCTGATTAGTCGCCGCTCTGGCCCGAGGTGCCGTCGGAGAGGGATGGAAGCGGTCGGGCAGGCGCGACGAACAGAAGCCGCGCGATGGTTGGTGAACTGCGGTGGAGAGGGAGGAAGGTGGCCGCGCGGTGCTCAGGTGTGGTGGAGATAGAGGTCGAGAGAGTCGTGGGAGCACGGGCACGGTGGAGCGCGAAATTGGAATTCGGCAGCGAGTCGGTATTGGAGAATGATGTTTCTGGAGACTCGTCAGTGAAGAAGATTGCTGGACGTTTTTTTTTATCAAACAGCCAACTGGAGGAGGCATCTAGGATAGTTTGGTCATTCGTACCGTTGCAGCGCGGCGTCCGGACGATCAGACGCCCTGATCCAGTATTTCCGGTAGTTTAACGGAGTAGATAACATGTTTGCAAAATCACTGCACAGATATACCGCCGCAATCGCGAGTGTACAGATGTGCTGTGGCCTTGTAGTCGTAGGAACACGTACTGTACTACAAAATTACAATCAGACACGTTTGTTTGTCCTACGCTGCCTCTTCTTTTTCTTGGGATGGGAGCTTTGTCCTTGTCTTCAGGTTGACGAGACTTCTGAATTCAAATGAGATGACGAGGCTCAGTCGCATACTCTCGCATGGAGGGAACTGGTAACCAATTCGGCGCGTAGGCAGCACGAGCGCCTGGCGCGGCGAGACGCTACAACTCGGTCGGCCCTGCAGTTACATGCAGTTGCGAGAGAACACCTAATCAATTTTTTTATAGTTTTGATTGACTATCAATATTGATTTCAAATATTCAGTTTGGAACATGAAAATCATATAGGTATGTATTTGTTTTTTTAAATACTTCGAGACTCACCAGTTTAATCTATTGAAGGTTGAAATTTGCTTTCCTCGTTCCAATAATCCACTTTTTCCCCCTAAAAAAATCCACTTTTTCCTTGCTGGCCCTAAACAAAAATTAGGCTTGATCTACTCTCCAAACTAATGAAGTTACCCAAGGGATTCTACCTTTTTTCCCCGCATACAAGTTGAGTTGTACCCCATCCGTCTCAAAATATAAGGTGCAATTTAACTTGTTGCAGTTTTCAAGAACACATTTTAACCACTAATTTCTCTTATAATATATAATTTATGGCACCAAAAGTTTAATTAGTAAAAAATACTTGTAAATACAATTCCAATGTAACCATTTTTACAGAATAAACTTGTCATTTGCTAGTCAAAGATAACAAAATTTGGATTTCGAAATACATGCATGGTACTGTCGGAGTAAGTTAAAACTTTTTTGTGTGGTATAATAAGCCTAATATGATACGTATATGTAATTATCCAATATGCATGCAAAGTTCGTGGTTTGACTTTGATTTCAAATACGTATTTCATTTTGCTCTTGATAATAACGGGAAACCTCGACTATTCCGCGCGAGGGCTGTGGACCCCGAAACCCTAATAACAGTTGATTCCAGTCCTTTAATCGTATTTTAAGCAACAAAGTGCTTTGTGTCCTTGTCATCACCACGGAATTTGCTGACAGTTGCAAGCAGCTCTCGTGGAGCTCCGAGAGAGAATAATGATCCATCTTCCATCCATCCATCCCTAATTCCCATTCCCTAATCCCTACGGGTCAAACAATTCTCACAAGATTTTAGACGAGCTTTTCCTTTTGCCCATCTCTTTTTGGCCACACTGTACTGTCGACGGATCAAAAGTTATCCTAAACTTTTGTCGAAAGAAAAATCTGTCTGAAAAAATAATGAAACTTTCCAGACATAATAATCAAATGGCCGGTCCAGAGGAGCATGCCAAGGCTTTGCCTGGGCAAAGCAAGTAGCAAGGCTAAGATTTTTGTTCAGGCAAGGAAAGCAGAAAGCACAGCACGCACTGGAATCTGCTTTATTTCAGGGGGGATATGATAACCCATCTGGGAGCTTGGAAGGCAAGAAAAGAGGAATCTCCAGGCAGCACGCACCAAGAAGGGATGCATGCAGTCAGGCACTCAGCTAGCTTGTGTTGTGATGTGCTCCAGCTGCAATGCAAGCCAGCAACTTGTTCATATTCACAAGGTAGCAGCAGCCTGGTCCTAAGCTAAACAATCTTCTCGCCCAACTTTGGCTGTTGTTTTCACGATAACTTCCCTTGTAATTTGAGGCACACATGGTGACGACTATGACCTGCTACCTGGTGCAGCAGCAGGGTTAGAGAACTAGCCTGCTAGGTTAAGTAGCTCAACACAGCAAGAGAGTGACATGAGTTGCAGGCTTGTGTGGCGTACTTGGAGCTGGAAAGAGTATTCTAAAGATGCATACGGGTAGTTCAGAACAGCTAACAGAAGCCGCTTAACATCTATGTAGTGCGCAGGATGGTTCAGGGAAGGAAAAGATGCACAGAAAAATAAATTCAGGATGCAATAAGGCTGAAGCCGCTTAATAGTGCGCATGATGGCTCAGGGAAGGAAAAGATGCACGGAAAAATAAATGCAAATGTTCGACTTGCAAATTCATTGTGTAAATTAGTTATACGCCACTGCTGTTGTAGAAATTAGTGTTGCAGGTTCTATAGCAAATGTTCCATCGCTGAAGAACACTAATTTATACTACCATTGCTGTAGAAGCAACGTGTAGCAACACAACACAGGCAAATCATAATACAATACTAGATTAAAAGTTCATGCCAACACTAAATCAGCATAATGCAGTACTAGATTAAAAGTTTATGCCAATTAAAAGAACATGTCACAATATCAAAACCAAGAAGATGACATTGTTTAGTCTTTCTGGAAGAAAAAAACAAACAAACCATAGAGCCTGCCGCTCAGTTCAATTATTGTATTGCTCAAGGATCATCTTAATCATCTAAGAAGTTTTTTGTCCATCACTCTCCTTACCATGTCCTGGATGTAGCATAGATCAATCAAAGTTAGCGATTGCACTGATAGAATGCAAAACAACATGTATGTTACCAATGCACAGTAGCTAAAATGAAAATGAGTGAGTGAGGGAGGGAGGGATGAACTTGCACCGAAAACAAGAGTGACAAAAGACGAAAAAACCAAACAGTAAACAATCAAACCATTCATTAGTGGTCTGCAAATTTCTTCCCTAATGGCAAGATGTAAAATAGCAAGGTATCTAGTCAATTCTGTTCGCTGATAGTTTCTCTTAATCCAGTACTCCCTCCCAATTTTCAACTTGTTGTAAGGTGCAGTTTGACTCTATGTGGTCTCCAAAACTAAAACTCCTATAGTTACTTTCTCTTGTAGTATATCTTTTTAACAAGACCGCAGTCACAGGAAAGTAGTTCTAGGCCTCAGTGTACCAAGATAAACTTTGGTCTTTCCCATGAATTTTTTTGCCACTATTTGGTTGGAGGCCACTTTTTTCCTAAGAACACTTTGACCAGCCAAAACATTTCAAAAGTATTAAGTGGGGGACCCAAATGATCGCCCCAAGTTTGGCCGATCCAAAATGTTAGCATAGTCACGTATCATGAAGAATTCACTCTAGCATCAATTGTTTTTTTTTAAATCTAGCATCAATCAGTTTTTCTAAGGTCATGAAGTCTGCACATTGAAATGTGAGCACAACTTAAAAGAAAAAGGAACAGATGGTGTATAAAACTAATACCTAATATGCTTTGGGCTTCACAAGAATTGGACAACACACCTTTGGCTTGAATATGTTCTCTTCGACAGTCCTCCGCAGCTTTGATCAGGATTGACCTCTCTCTACGAAGAGCATTCAATTCGGA